TGATAGTCACTCCCTAATGTCCAACTGTTATAGGATGATAGTCACTCCCTAATGTCCAACTGCCACAGGATGATAGTCACTCCCTAATGTCCAACTGTTATAGGATGATAGTCACTCCCTAATGTCCAACTGTTATAGGATGATAGTCACGCCCTAATGTCAAACTGCCACAGGATGATAGTCACTCCCAATGTCCAACTGTTACAGGATGATAGTCTCTCCCTAATGTCCAACTGCAATAGGATGATAGTCACTCCCTAATGTCCAACTGTTACAGGATGATAGTCACTCCCTAATGTCCAACTGTAACAGGATGATAGTCACTCTCTAATGTCCAACTGTTACAGGATGATAGTCACTTCCTAATGTCCAACTGTTATTGGATGATAGTCACTCCCTAATGTCAAACTGCCACAGGATGATAGTCACTCCCTAATGTCCAACTGTTATAGGATGATAGTCACTCCCTAATGTCCAACTGTTATAGGATGATAGTCACTTCCTAATGTCCAACTGTTACAGGATGATAGTCACTCCCTAATGTCCAACTGTTACAGGATGATAGTCACTCCCTAATGTCCAACTGTTATAGGATGATAGTCACTCCCTAATGTCCAACTGTTATAGGATGATAGTCACTCCCTAATGTCCAACTAACAGGATGATAGTCACTCCCTAATGTCCAACTGTTACAGGATTATAGTCACTCCCTAATGTCCAACTGTTACAGGATGATAGTCACTCCCTAATGTCCAACTGTTACAGGATGATAGTCACTCCCTAATGTCCAACTGCTATATGATGATAGTCACTCCCTAATGTCCAACTGTTATAGGATGATAGTCACTCCCTAATGTCCAACTGTTACAGGATGATAGTCACTCCCTAATGTCCAACTGTTACAGGATGATAGTCACTCCCTAATGTCCAACTGTTACAGGATGATAGTCACTCCCTAATGTCCAACTGTTACAGGATGATAGTCACTCCCTAATGTCCAACTGCTATATGATGATAGTCACTCCCTAATGTCCAACTGCTATATGATGATAGTCACTCCCTAATGTCCAACTGTTATAGGATGATAGTCACTCCCTAATGTCCAACTGTAACAGGATGATAGTCACTCCCTAATGTCCAACTGTTATAGGATGATAGTCACTCCCTAATGTCCAACTGTAACAGGATGATAGTCACTCCCTAATGTCCAACTGTTACAGGATGATAGTCACTCCCTAATGTCCAACTGTAACAGGATGATAGTCACTCTCTAATGTCCAACTGTTACAGGATGATAGTCACTCCCTAATGTCAAACTGCCACAGGATGATAGTCACTCCCTAATGTCCAACTGTTATAGGATGATAGTCACTCCCTAATGTCCAACTGTTATAGGATGATAGTCACTCCCTAATGTCTAACTGTTATAGGATGATAGTCACTCCCTAATGTCCAACTGTTACAGGATGATAGTCACTCCCTAATGTCCAACTGTAACAGGATGATAGTCACTCCCTAATGTCCAACTGTTACAGGATGATAGTCACTCCCTAATGTCCAACATAAACTGAAAAGTGTTTTGCATCATTTGCCCTGTGCACAACAGCCTCAGGATGATATAAAAGTCTATATTACCTAGTGTTTGGTGGGAGTTATTGTTGTATCATGTCGTATGTTTTATGTCCCATTTTACATGTTATGGTTCGTTTTGTATGACTGTGTATGAGTATGTATTAGTATGTATGTATACGTATGAGTACGTATGATTATGTGTGAGTACGTATGAGTATGTATGAGTATGTATGAGTACGTATGAGTATGTATGAGTACGTGTGAGTATGTATGAGTATGTATGAGTATGTATGAGTATGTATGAGTACGTGTGAGTTGAGATCCCATTCGTCTATATAGAAAACTGACAGTGTAGGAGATGATGCAATACCTCACTAGACTGAAGGGAGAAAACACCACCTCTCAGTAAAATAGCTGTATCTCGGTCGTTCATTGAGATAGAGACCTGAAACAAAGCCGGGCATAAAGCTGAGACCTAGGGGAACACATAGGAAGTGCCAGATATTGTGTGTTACATTATCCTTAATTAACGCTTTCACAAAATGCAGACTGTTTTCTTTTAAATACCTTTTACCAAATATTACTACATGGTTCTGTTCCAGAGCAATATCTAATTAGATTGGGGTGGGACATTTTAGGCGGAAATTGAGGTCAGGGGCCCTGTCAAGAAGAGGTTAAATATCAGAATCAAGCGAGGGAGAATTTGTATGTATTTTTTATCACTTTCATCAGAGTCAGTTTCAGTCAAGTATTCATACACTAAGTTTATTGTGTGTTTATTGAGTCTTTAAACAGTCTTGAGTTCAATGATCTTAGAGCCCGGCTTGGTTTGTAATCTTCAAACATCAGAAATGTATTCAGGGCCCAGACCGTTCAGTGATTTATAGACTACATCACCTAAAAAACTATTCTGTATTGGAAGCCAAAGTAACTCCGCCCATCTAAATAAGACCTGAACCAATAAGGACTGTCCCGAAGAGTCCTTCCCAATTTCCCAGCCTGTCCAGAAGTGTTATATGATCTACTGTGTCAAATGCAGCACGGAAAACTGTATTTTTAACTGAATCAGTTTTCAGTCGTATGTCATTTGAGGTCTATAATCTATAGTTGTGAAGAGCTATTAACTATTTGCTGCAGATCCATTGTAATGGAATAAAAAACTGTTTTAAAAAAGTCTGTTGGTAGTGTGTCAAGACAGATGTATATATAAATAATATAATTAGATTGTGTCACGAACCGTAGGGTGTAGTGCAGGAAGCCAGGTGCAGAGCCAGGTAATCCGTTTTAGAACAGGTTTATTTCAAGACATGAACTTAAAACAAACCGTAAACGGCGAAAAAACACTACAACTGTGGTACTTGAAATCAAAGTGCGCATATATAGCGTCTTATAATCGAACATTCAAAACAACAGCAACTATACAAAAACAACACTCACCTCTAACATAATGTGACATGGAAACAATGAAGCGCAACGAGTGACATCTAGCAATCCCCTTTATAGCCCAGTGATTGCAAATCCCCAACAGCTGTAACCAACACAAACCAGGAAAGGGTGCACCCGAAACCAGACAGTGCAGTACCCTAACTCACCACTCGTGACAGTACCCCCCACTAAAGGCTAGCTCCCAGATAGCCAACAACAACCAACATTAACAACAACACACAAAAAAAAACAAGGGAGCAACAGGCAAGGACCCACTGTCACACCCAAAGGGTTAGTCCAAGACAGCAGGTCCAGCCCTTAAAGGGCCTTGGTGGCCCGATCGCCATCTTGTGCGGCAAGGCTTCCGCCATCTTGGTGGACGTGGCGGCGGCCATCGTGGTGGGCGTGGCGGCGGCCATCGACGTGGGCGTGGCGGCGGCCATCGACGTGGGCGTGGCGGCGGCCATTTTAGGCGGTGACGCTCTGGGAGCTCTGGCAGGCAAGGACGCTCTGGGAGCTCTGGCAGGCAAGGACGCTCTGGGAGCTCTGGCAGGCAAGGACGCTCTGGGAGCTCTGGCAGGCAAGGACGCTCTGGGAGCTCTGGCAGGCAAGGACGCTCTGGGAGCTCTGGCAGGCAAGGACGCTCTGGGAGCTCTGGCAGGCAAGGACGCTCTGGGAGCTCTGGCAGGCAAGGACGCTCTGGGAGCTCTGGCAGGCAAGGACGCTCTGGGAGCTCTGGCAGGCAGGGACGCTCTGGGAGCTCTGGCGGAGGAAGGAGATGACACTCCGGGAGCTCTGGCAGGCAGGGACGCTCTGGGAGCTCTGGCGGAGGAAGGAGGAGCCCCTCAGGGCACTCACACTGGAGTGGGAGGAGCTGGTCCGGGCACTCACGTAGAGGAGGGAGGAGCCGCTCAGGGCACTTAAGCAAAGGTGGGAGGGTCTCATCTAGGCACTCACCCTGGAGTGGGAGAGGCTGGTCCTGCAGGGTGAACCACACCCCCCACCATCTCCTTATCACTCCGGGCGGCTGGCACTCCAGGCCCTTAGGTGGTCTCTGGGCCCTGGAGGTTGGTGGCCGGAAAGGGTCATAGCCCTGTTGGAGCTGGGGTTTTGGCTTCAGCTCCAGAGCTCTTGCTGGCTCTGGCTGCAGCCCCGGAGCAGTGGGTGGTTGCTGTGGCAGCACCAGGGTCGTGGGTGTTCTCTCCGCGGACCTCCTTGAACACCCCGTTAGCTCCCCCCCAAAAATCACTTTGGGGCGCCTCCGGGATGTCCTCTTGCCTTCATAGAAGGCCCGCGGACCCATTTTCACAGACCCTGAATGCTGCATTGATGGTTCGTATTCAGCATACGGCCGGAGACGTAGCCACCGCTCCTGTGGTGTCTCCGGCCGATTCCATTCCCACCGCTCCGTGGGGCGACGGTGAGTTTCATCCGACGGGGCGCTATAGCTTGCCCCCCCGTGGAATCCACTCACCGTCTGGCTCCGCTGGCTTAGGTGGCGCTTCATTCTGTCACGAACCGTAGGGTGTAGTGCAGGAAGCCAGGTGCAGAGCCAGGTAATCCGTTTTAGAACAGGTTTATTTCAAGACATGAACTTAAGAAAAACCGTAAACGGCGAAAAAACACTACAACTGTTGTACTTGAAATCAAAGTGCGCATATATAGCGTCTTATAATCGAACATTCAAAACAACAGCAACTATACAAAAACAACACTCACCTCTAACATAATGTGACATGGAAACAATAAAGCGCAACGAGTGACATCTAGCAATCCCCTTTATAGCCCAGTGATTGCAAATCCCCAACAGCTGTACCAACACAAACCAGGAAAGGGTGCACCCGAAACCAGACAGTGCAGTACACTTACTCACCACTCGTGACAGATTGCATGAAAACCATAATATGGTTATGATTAGTATAATAATATTGATGTAGCGATGGATAGGTCAGTCAATATTATAATAATAATCCCATAAATATATCAGTGCTGTAAGTCTTATGGAGTTGGTAGTTCAGTGGTAGAGTGCATGCATTGTGTCTATGATGTACTGGGTTCAATCCCCAGCTTTTCCCCAGGTCCCCATTGCAAATTAAAATGTGTTCTCAATCGGCCTACCTGGAAAAATAAACGTTAAAAAAAGATCTCACTTTCCTTTTAGTTTATATTACTTAAAACTACAGTACATTAAATCAGTCAAACCTATCATGTTTTCAGATCCGCTGGGAGATCTCATGATCAGTGATCCAAAAACTGAACAGACATCATCTACAGCAAGTAAGTTTAACATCTGTATTGTTGGTTTTGTTACGATAAAATTTTCCACACTGATAAACCAGGAAGTTACAAAGGCCAACACATAGTACACGCCCACTCACCAGACAACCTTGGTTCGGTCTGCAAGCGCCTGAAGAACCTGAAGGAGTTGATTTATTGCAGTGAGACCACATAACTCTCCTGGCGATGCTTCCTTCTTGTCCAGATGATGCCCACCTGAAACCCAGACATTGATGGTCAGCTTAGTGCTTAGAGCAACTATATAATATAACAAGATAAGGAACATGTTAACTTCAAAGTTTTAACTAATGTTGTTAAATTCTTAACATCTCGTCTTGGTCTTTTGCCTCAAGGATGCTCTGAGATACGAGTCAAGTTTACCCACAAAATTTGTCTCTCAATATATTATGATATCCCAGATTTTGATTGTATGAGGGTGAATGAGTCTTGATGTGGGAAAATAAACACTTTAGTTTGGTATAACAACATCAAACATTGCTTTGAACCATTTCGTTTTGTCCACTTTAACATCTGACACCCCAAAAAGTCAAAATGATGGTGAGTACGTCTGCCAGATTTACTTTGCTGTAATATGTAGTGTTGTTTGTTAACTGTTGAAGAAATAAAGAATGGTTATATCTTCCAGTGTTCGATGCTTTGCTGTGATGCCAGAACCAGTAATTTGTTACAAAACCGGCTATTTCTGGCTTGTGCACAGGAAGTCACAGCTCCACAGAAAATGTTGTAAATTCATTAAATCAAAAAAAGAATGTCTAGCAAGCACACTACATTTGTCAATTCATCATTTAATTAATGTATTCATACAAGAATTAATAACACATTATTTCTCCCAATGTCACCGAACAGTGAAAATATTATTGCCGGGTGTGGCTTTTGTATTGGGTGTGTTCCTACTGGGATTGGCAGCTGTCTGTCTCTGCAGGAAGAACGGTGAGTATTATAGATACTGAGTTTGATTAGATCATTTGCAACCATTTTTATTTGGTTTATTTTATATATTGATTTTATTATCTGGGGGCCCGTTTGAATAACTAATATGGGGCCCCACCCACATAAAACATAAACATAATAGAGCAACAAGGCAAAGGTATAAACACATAAACTACCAATATTAAATTCAGATCGCTTAAGCCGTTCGCGGGGGCTGTAAACGTCGCCATGATAACCGCGAGTTCGACCAATCAGAGACGCCAGTGTATTGCTTAGAATTGTGGGTAGTGTGGTATTTCTCCAGAAGATTGCAAATAACAAGGTTGATTTCATACGTTGTGGGTTTTATAGGAGCAGAAACTTTCGTTTCACTACCTGGTAGCTCGCGGTCAATCTACCTTGGAGGGTTTAGACATTATGGCTGAAAATCAATATCCTACGGAGAAAATGTATGGGATTTTGCTGGTCTGTTGGGGCCCCCATGGAGGGCGGGGCCCGTTTCAATTGAAATGGGTGAAACATAGGTAAGGTCTCGTCTGTTGAGCGTAGACTGCGGGTGGGTAGAGCAATGGTGACTAGAGTGCTTAGGTACAGCGGGACTTTGCCTAGCAGAGATTGATGAATGAGTTGGTACCAATGAGTAAAACGCTGACTGTTTAACGACGGCCAGCCAACTAATGCATAAAGGTTGCAGTGGTGGGTGTTGTATGGGGCATTGGTAACCAAACGTATAACACTATGGTAAACCACATCCAGTTTTTTTAGAGTGTTTGAGGCAGTTCTATAAATGACATCGCCAAAGTCAAACATTGGTATAATAGTAATCTTGTGTGTCTGCCTGTCTGGAAGAAGAGAGAGCTGTCTAACAAGACACTTAGGTATTTGTCTGTGTCCACATATTCTAGTTCAGACACATCTAGCAGGCAGCTGAGGGCAGTGATGGGTTGAAAAGCATGCACTTAGTTTTATCAGAGTTTCGTAATAACTGTAGGTTACGGAAGGAATGCTGAATGGCATTATAACTCTCCTGGAGATTTATCAGTATCTAACGAAGGGCCTGAAGTATTCAGGATGGTATCATCTGCATAGAGAGAGTCCCCAACAGCGAGAGCCACATGGTTAATGTAGAGAGAAAATAGTCAGCCAGAGAATTGAACCCTGTGGCGACCCCATGGAGACAGCCCTCTGAATCTACATGCTGGACCCTGTCGGAGAGGTAGTTTGAGACCCAGGCGAGGCAGTCGGCTGATAAGAACACAATGGTTAACAGAATCAAATGCCTTGGACAGATTGACGTAAACGGCTGCACAGTTGTGCTTTTTATCAATGCTGTCAATTAACCTTTAGGGTTAACTTATTCAAAAATGCATTAAATACATTTTCAGACCATGAGAAACACGGGTATGATGTTGAAATGTGTTGTAGTGGGTGGGACAGGGAGACTAGTCAGGGCCAAGGGGAAAGAGGAAGTTCACGCAGAGCCTGAAGTAAAACCTAACCCTTTAGATATCCAGCCCAACAAGATGAACATAACCAACGTATGGACCATCAAATACACTAAACACCACACGCACATATAAAATGAATACACACGTGAACAAACACATTGTTATTCATTGTGTATTTATTTCTGTTGTAGATTTGGTGAAGGGAGACATGAGAACTGGAGGCCTGGTTGATTCAGAGGATGATGGGATCTATTCTGACGCCGTCTACATAAATGTACAGTCCACAAGTCAGTCTGTAAAACAGGTTCCCTATGTGTCCCTCTGATATGTTAGCTTATAATATGAAGTAGATTTAAGTTAGCATTTATACCTTCAGGTGTCATTACATGTGTTATTCTATTACTTTTATATTAGATTACAATTTATAATAATGAAACCCTTTAAATATATCTGTATATATATATATATATATATATATATATATATATATACACACATATATCATACATTTAAAACAAATTGAAAGATACATTCCTCTCCTGTCAAATCTGTTGCTTTTGACAATCCTGTTACTATTGTCAACCCTTATACTATTGTCAATAATATTGTCAATCCTGTTACAGGTTACATGTTTCTATTTAAGCCATCCTTCAGAATAAAAACAAATGAAAACATAAAATGGGCAATTCAATGAGGAATAGAAAACAAAAATAGAAAAATAAGAACAAATTTAAATAAACTCAAAATAGACTTAACAGTGTGGTAAAGTTTAAGCGCTCAGTCATACGCTTGTGAAAGGAGAAATGTTTTTAGCCTGGCTTTAAAAACGGATACATTTGGGGCCCGTCTAAGATCTTCTGGTAATTTATTCCAGTTGCATGTAACTTTTGAATGCAGCTTCACCATGTTTAGTTTTGACTTAGTTTTGAGATTTATAGACTACAAGCAACACTTTAAAATCTTTTCTGTAACTGACTGGAAGACAGTGCAAAGATTTAAGAACTGGAGTGATGTGCTCTGTTCTCTTTATTGTTTTTTTACATTCTTGCAGCAGAATTCTGAATGAGCTGCAATGGTTTTAATCAATAATACAAATTGATTTTATAAAGCCCTTTTTACAACAAAGTTGTCACCAAATGCTTTTACAAACAAAGTGCTTTTAAATTGTGACATAACAGACACATTTTCTCTCGGCGGTTGTGGTGGCAATACAGAGTGTTTGACTGTGTAGTTTTGATGGGCAAAAGTTTTACAAAAGTTTTGTTTATTGATATCATAGTGGATTTGAAGCTTAGTTTTTTCTCCACTCACGTTCAGTTTTCCTACATTCTCTTTTCAGGGTGTTAACCATTATGGTGTTTCTCCATGGTGCTTTTTTGTTTTCTTTACCTTTAATGGTGCAACACGTTTCATGACATTCAAAATTTTTCCATTTAAATTATCCAGGAGTTCATCTACTGACTCTGCACTTATTGTTGGTGAGGCAGCTATGGCCTCCATAAATTGAGCATTGGTTATCTCATTAATGTACCTTTTACTAACGGAAAGAGAGTTTACTTGAACATACAGGGAAATCAATTCTTCAAATATACACAGAAATGATCAGACAGAGCCATAACTATAAAGTAAAGCCATCACACGTAAAACTGTGTGAGGGATGTGATGCTTTACACACAGTCTGTAAAAACTGATGTGTTCATGATTCGTGTGCTGTACTTAAATACTACAACTCAAAAGTGTTGAGAATCGATCCATGGTGTGTTAAATTCATAATCAGTTTGTATTCTGCTCTTTTTCCTACCATTTGATTATCATTGATTATCACTGTTTCTGTGTAAATTCCCCAACTAAACAGATTCCTCTACTCAGCAAGATATGGCTTACAGGCTATTAACATAAACCTAAAGCAGAGCTCAAAATAAACCTCTCATATAAAAGCGTGTTTCTTATATTAAATGAAAGACATGTTTTTGTGGTTAACGGTATGGCTGAAGAGTAAAGGTTAAAGGTTACATTACTAATACAGGCAAAAGGTCATGTCTCCAGTTTGCTGCTAAAGCTCAGAACTTTGCTCTTTTAATGGAACATCTCTTTTTTGGGAAATACAATTATAAAAAATATTATGACGGTAATAAATTAATATCAAATTTATATTACAGAAATGTCTGATCGTGGAAATAAATAGATAATTATTATAAGATTAAATTATGTTCATGTGTAAATATATATATATAATATAATATGTACTTATTCGGAACGATGGTCTGGTTGTCTCTTAAATATCCTCTGTGATGAGTGATCAGGTGCAGGTGTGACGGATGACTCTCCCAGAACAGGTGTGCAGGGTTAGAGAATCAGAGAGCCTGTAGATCTGGTCATCACCCACCAGAGGGAGACAA